CCCAATTGGTCTTGCAAAACGTTCAAAGTGTTTTCTAAAGGTCCAGTTTGGGTTGCACAATGTCCATTGTGATTTGCAAAGCGTCCAACTTAAAGTGAAATTGATGGATACCTACAAACTTGATAAACCATCGTCATGAAGGGAGATCGATTAGCATTTTGACGTCTTTCAAACAGGCCTAATGGAAAGTGCTGCGAATTATACCTTCAGTTATCCATAATAAAAAACTATCATTGAGCGGAGTAGATAACTCACTGCACTACATGATGAAAACAGTTCAGCTTTATGTAGTGACCTTTATATTTAATGAATGCGGTTGAAAACCGATGGATTACAAATGACAGCGATCACAATGAAACCAGGAATGCTACACGAGCAGAATAAACGAGCTCTTCTGGTTGGAAAATAAGCCAAGCGATCCTATGGGGTTCAACAAACGGGGGTGAGGAAGGAGTGTTGCCCACTTATCACAAACTAACCGAATTAATCCCTGTCATTAGTACCAAGGAACCATTCGTCAGTACACCTTTGTGTCTGATCACCGGGACACTTTGAGCTGCGTTTGTTTTGGCCTCTTGCCTTTAAGCCATTTTGCATATGGTCACTCGATTCGAAGCGAAGTATTTACTTCAAGGAGTAATGCTGCATTGGAATTTTGAAACCCTTTCTCTTTCCTTAAGCGTCCTGCGCTACTAATCCCAGTTTTATCCTACGCATGCTATGTAAGTCCAGTAAGAGAAGTCCGCTGCAAGGAACTGACTTTTGGACTCGGACAGATGCGGAATGCATTCTAGCCATCTGATGAGTAAGGATCATGGTGAACATGGTGAAGTAAAGCAGTGGCGAAGCCTGTACCAACTACAGGACGTCTGCTTTATGATCTTACTAACAAAATCACTAGCCCGCATTTTAGTCGCCCATTTGTGTCGCCCACGACAAGTACGAAGACCAGACGACTGAGCGTAACTCATTGTCCCCAAGCACGTGCTCGCTTGTATAAAAGTCGAACATTTGGGGTTTACCGATAAAGTCTGCGAAAGTGAATCGTTGTGAAAGCAGCGGCTCGAAATACCTTGCTTGTCGCCTATGTTACAGGTTTTTGTGTCTCAATGCATCACATTAGTCTGTACCCGTAATCACAAATGTAACAGAGAGAGAATCAACCAGAAAGAGGCTGTATACTTCACATCCTGATACCTTTTCACGCATATATCTTTGCTTGTCTACGGTCGTGGTTATTGATTTCAGCTAATCATTTGTATGTTCATGTTTGCCTTGGAAGGATGTTTCTATCAGATAGCTGAACATATTACTTGCTGTAAAATATGAATTTTAATGTTTCGTAAAGGTTTAGCACAAATGTCAGGCGCATTCTCGTGGAAAGCTGACAGACCAAAACGGCCTCATTTTTAGATTTACATTCATGCTCAACGTGCATCTCATTTTGAAGTGTTCTAAGCCAAATGGGTCGATTGATGCTGCACTGACATGATCCGGCAGTTTGCAAACATCGAGGTGGCGCAGTATACACTGCACAACCTACCTGCAATGCTGGCATCCACCAACATGTGTTCTACCTTCTCGAATTGCAAAGTGACGTATCAACACTGTTTGCCATTTTGTGGTGCTTCTTTCTTTGATATTTAGAAACCTTGGGGCAGTCGTTCGATTCGCTTTATGTGGTAACTGTATTTGTAATGATGAGCTTATTATTATTATTGAAGTTGGTTCCTATTTTCTTGATCCACATCATCGCAATACCTTAGCTTCTTAGGTCGCCCTGTGCATTGTTTGCAGACTAGTTGAATATTTGGGGGATTATTGATTGTCCCGACGTCTTGATGTCCTTCAGCGGGACTTCGACCACCTGTCCCCATGGTCACAGAAGTAGTTCTGCCGGTCAACCCGGCCAAGTCGTCATTTATGAGTCCGGGGAAGGATGGTATTGAGCGTATGTACACCCTAGGCGGTCACCCGCTGCATCCTACAAGCTCCGTAAAGGACCTGAACCTACTCTTACACCGTGATCTGAAGAACAGACTGTACAGAAACGGACTACGCCTGCTTTGGGCACTTAGACGCAGCTTCTGTACTTGGTCTGAAGAGACTGTCACTGAGGTGTTCTCTTTCATGATAAGGCCGGTGCTTGAGTACGGCGCACCCGCCTATTGTCCGATCACAATGGGTGAAGTGCAGAGAGTGGAACGGATCCAGAATGTAGCTACACGGCTCATCCCTAGTTTGCAGGGTATGTCATACGAGGACAGATGTAGGAGACTAGGGCTTTCCACCCTGTCATATCGTCACTTTCGAGTTGATCTCATTATGTCGCACCGGATACTGCACTTGGGCCACTTCCCTACGGTGAAGACGCTGCTGCATGTTCGCGCACCAAGCAGCACACGCGAACACCGGTAGAAACTAGTGGTACCGGATTTAAAGCACATCGCTTACTCTCTATGTTTTGAGCATCGAGAGCTGAAAGATTGGAATAACTTGCCGGAGACCAAAATTGAGGCGAAATCGGTGTCAGAATTTAAGAGACATCTCGGTGCCCACCTTGTGTACGACAAGTCTAGGGAGCGTATCGCGCCCGGATAAGATGTAGTGCAGCTGTAATATGCTGCCACCGCGCAGGATCAGCGACGTGATTCCGTGCAGGTGCCCAATCTAATTAAGACGGAGCAACACAGATGTATATTTTCTCCCTCTCTAATTTCTGTATCCAGTACGTAGTAAGCATAAGCCGTTTGCAATGCCTTTGATACCACGGTTGAGTTCCCATGGCCTCGAAGTCCTTGTTGCGAGACCACAACCAAAGGTATCCACTTATGGCCCCGCTCCCAATACGTGGTATTCATTAGTAGCGGTTGTTTCTGGTTGAATATAGTCGTGAATAAACGTTGTCAATCATCTACATACCCATAGGTATTTCTGCTTCTGAGCGCACAGTAATTGCAATATGCCTCTGGTGTTTTATTACAACTTAATTCATCAGCTGAAGTTAAGCACAAATGGCATATGCATCTAACGAAGGAGTATAAAATGCACCTTATGTACCAAAATTAGATTTACAAATTTAGTAAGAAGATTCTGATCTGTGAATAGGCCCATCAACGGCAGCCGAAAAACGCAGTTTGGAATTGCATGTTTGAAATTAGTGCTACCTACCTCTCTCCATTGCTGTCCCCCGTATTCTTCTTGATATGTTGTGAGCATACTACTCTGTGGTCTGATCTCTTCTCTAGCACAGAGAGATATACCGGGGCAGCGAGTCCCAACCAAGCGTTGGGGCAACGTAGGTTGACATGCAAGTGTATTCACTGGATGATACAACCTGGTTTCCTGACTGATAGCCATGGTTCTGCATCTGCGCTGTAAATTACGGACAACAGGTGTAGTGGTTGGTGTGCCATTGTCGATAATGGGTTAGAAAACTAAGACGGACAGCTAAAGCGGAGCAACATTATGTACCAATATTTAAGTACCATACAAACCGTTAAAGGACTCCTTTAGCTGGAACACTACGGAAGTGTCCATAGTTGAGTGGGCAACATGAGATGCGGATGTTGCAGGCCAAACGTCTTGATCATCACATTAATGCAGAATGGTGGATATGAAGTGTTGAACCGAAGCAGAGAGTTGGTTTGAATTCATCGGAATCGTACGGGTCGCAAACTGAATACTCACCTCCTCCTATCGGCTTTGAAATGGTGCCAAAGAAAGCAGAAATGCGTGGCGTATGGATAACAATCAATCATCTTGCTGTATGTTGTTAACGCCATTAGTGGTAAAAAAATCCTCATCAACAACGAAAGCAGTACAATAATATGGCTACATAATTCCCTATTTTCATGGTGATCCAAGTAACGAATTGTAATAATAGAGGAGTAAGGTGGTCTAGTGGGAATCTGAAAGATTCTAAACAAATGTTTAGGTTAAAGCTCCTGCACTTTATCAGCAGCACGCTGTCACAAACAACTGGCTATGCTGTGAAGTTAAGGAGATACTTTGAGACGGTTTCCATTGGGTGTTCATTTCTTCTAGTCCTCATCATTCTTACCACCCAGACGAATCGGCAAACGCACTGGGTACCGATTATCCGACGACAGCGACTGAATAACCGTTTCTGATTTCTAGTCCAGTCCTTTAATGTCTGGGAGCAGACACAGGACTGATCACATAGGTTTTAGCCTACAACGCAGTGCGTACCAACAGCGCACTGTTTAATTTTCAGTGTACTTATCTCTTGCTTTCAGGATACTTTTTACGAACTTAGAGCCAGTAAACAATATTAGACCCCAATGCTAGATAGTGAGCGTGTGCACGCTGCAGGTACGACAGACCATGGTACTTGTCTTGTGATTCGTCATTTTTGATGGGTTATTTGAGTGTCCACCTAACAGTGGTCAATGGACACGCTGGTCACCTCTGACGCCTGCATTTATTCGGTAGACAGCGGTGAGCGAACTCTGTACTTGAGCGAACTAGATGAGCGAAATGGGAACCAACGCGCTAGTATACTACAGAGATCATTCAGACGGTTCGCGTTATACGTCTGCTCGCAGACGGTTGACACATACTTGCGGCTTCATGTAGAATATGCAAGCTAGGCCTCGCTGAGCTGACGCAAGAAATATCTCGCAGCGCTCGAGAGTCCAAAGCAAAGACCCACCAAGTAAGTCAAGACTTTGTTCCACCTGTAAGATCAACTTAACCTGAGGACCCAAAGATTGAACAACAGTCATTCGCGTCGCCAATGTGGCGCTCAAGTAATGCCAACGGATTCTGAGAAACACCAACCACGTCTGCATCCAGCTTAGTAGCAACATGAATTTGGAAGTCCACTAGTTTAAGTTGACCACACAAAACAGTCGGCTAGAATGTCCGTGAAGCTTTTACTCTCTTCGTGTTTACCAACCTTAGACACTCCCTAAATACGTCGTTTCCCCCCCCCTCACATTATATGTGTTTAACAGATGCATTGACGTTGCCCTAATCCACTTGCATTCCGAAACATGCCCTGTGCTCATCGGTACACATTACCATATGACAAACGTTGCACGACCATTAATAACCTACACAATCACGGGGCTCTTTGATTCATGCCTTCTTGTGTGTACTCTGGGGTGAATCCGCCAAAACGATTTTCATTCTGTCACTACAGTTTCTTTCCTCTCCTTTGTGATTCACATTCTAGTCATCCTACGGGACTTGTTAGACACTGAATTTATACGCCTACTACACCAGTGTTACGTGGTAGAAAGACAAAATTTTTCAGTCAAGTTTAATCATTCAGCAATAAATCTTACAAATGGAATCTCCTGCAAATGTGGGTATGTGCGTACAACCTTGGCACAAATATTCATGCTAATCCACGCGCAAGGAAAGACATACCGAGACGATATCAGGTAGCATTGGGTTTCTGATTTCAATGGGTGACGAGCAGATGTTGTACAAGCCTTCGCGAAAGCTGGGATACAAAGCGGGGTTGTACTCACAATCTGTGAACACAAAGGTCTGGCGCACGGAGCTGACCACCGAGGTGTCGTAAAGCGTCGTTTCCGGGTGAACGGTTCGACATCGGTATATATCGAAAGCGGTGGAGGGAGGTAACCGCACGGATCTTGTATAATGAATGAAATCTGAAGCGAACGTCTGAAAAATTTGGTAAGAAAATTGCACATTCTGTTATGTTGTAGTTATTGTATGGACGGTGTTATAAATCTATTGGTCGGTACCTTGAGTATAAATTAGCCTACGGATTAACCCGGAGAAAAGAAGTTGTAATCATATAGGCATTCCATTTGATGATTGCTTTTTCGGTCTCTTTAAACCACAAACCAGCCGCACAAAATCCACTTACTTTGTTAACTTCAAACTATCCTACAGCGATAACTTCTTTGACTGAATTCTAGGTGGATAAAACCAAAATCTGAAATTGCAGCTGCAGCAGCAGCTAGCATCTTCATTATGGGTTGATGATTGATATCTGTATACTCCCAAATCAAAGAGTTGAAGTGCAAACGGGAGAAATGTGCATAATTACGGATGTCTGCCTGAGTGGCGCTCGTGTACTCCGTAGTTATTTGTGTCTGTACATGCGACGAATGGTTCCCCATGGCACAAACTGTCTTTTTCTTAATATACCGGTCACCAGTAACACAGCTATAAGCTAAGAATACTTTATTCCTTCGTTTGGCTCCAGCCAGCTCTAAATTGGTCAAGTGGGGCGCCGCACACTATTGACGAAACAGAGGAACTTAGCATACGCAGTCCGATTAAACTACGAAGAAAAATTCTGGCTCATACAGCTGTTAGGTCAGTTTCAGAGGGCCTGAAATCAACGTACATCCGAAGGGCACATAGCTTTAAATCGATCGTCATTTAGGCGGATCAGAGCTAAATACAGTCCGGCGATATCAGGGACCAGGTAACGGATACCTCGAATTGCTTGGTGCTAGAGTAGCATGGAATAACCGTAGCTCGGAATACCCAACAGAACATACAGTGTGCGTAACCAAATGTACGGTCAAATTCTTCGATGTTTAGCAAGCAGCCAGACCTTATCAGTAACTGATCTCAACCCGCTAGTTACCATGACGAATTACGGTTCACTAGCTGTCCTGTGCAGCATTGCTTCCGAGCCGAAGGAAATGTTTACCGTGTTAACTAAAGTGTGACGCAAGCGGCATTTGGATTGAAACCACCATGCTGTGAGGTGTCTCCTCCATCCAAATCCTTGCTTTACGGTCAACGTTGACTGCTTCGAGTACTCATGTAACAGTGGCTATCCTACATGCAATACAATGGCTTCAAATATCATCACGCCCACTGCGTATGCTTCCAGATATTGCTTAGAAAGATGGTCTAAAAGATGACTGCAACCCTGCTTATAAGTGTAAACAGGACACTCAACAAAACACAAACTTTCCGTATCCCATACTACTTCATGTACCAGAACGTATTCGCATGGCCGGGAACAGACTTGCTGTATCCATGAAGCCCGCTGTTCCGCTGTATAGTTACCACTCCGATGAGTTGAATTCCGAAGTTTCCATGATGAAGTTTTTCTGTCGATTCCGTTAGCAATTCCCGTTTGCTCGTATACAACGTTCAACTACGTATTATATCACGATTTATCTCCCATAGAACAGCAACGAAAGACTACTGCAAGTATGCATGAGTACTTGTAGTTCACATCCTAACCAACTACGGGACTTGTTAGAAATTCGCTTTGCCGCCCGTGTTAACTCACTATTTATTTTAAGTGTAAAACTAACTTGAAAAGCGACCAGTGATATCCGCGAAACATGCACTAAGACTGTCATCTTATTGACAACATTAAAGTCTTAAGCTTCAGACTGCTAGGTATCCAATCGCAACGAGACTGGAACGTAACGTGGTGCGACGGTTTGCGTACCTCATTGGCCCATTGAGCTATCCTGGGTGATGCCTCCGGGCACCTTGAGAGCTACTCCTACCAGGTTGGTCAATGGTGAGAGGTCAGACAAACTCAGTCTGCTGGTCCTCCATTTTGGGGGTTTAAAATGGGATGGAGTCCATTTCTGTATGACTAAATCCTTGCCACCTCCCCGCTGCTTTGCGGACAGGCGTTTGAGCCAATGGCTTTGGATGAGGACCCTAATCGTCCTCCAGTCTAGGTCTGGACGCCCTGGCAGTATCTCAACCCACATACAACCATGACATTTTCTTCAAACATAAACATCGTCCTGCATCGGCCGCCGCGCAGAATATCAAGGCTCGTCTTATATGCTGTATAAATCAGAGCCGATAAGCGCAAACCTGTCACTGCTGATGCCTCCCTTCTTTCATTTCCACCTGTTACTCCTACTCCCATCCCGACCCCCATTATTAACCTTTCTTCTACAATTCCCAGCTTAATTGACAGCAACAGAAGTGCCACTGGATTAGAATCATCTGCAGCCACTATCCCATAGCAACTATCAGAGGCCTATCGGCAAAAGTCCCTTATAAGACCACGGTATCCCGATTCCATGGCGACATTCAACGTTCGCACTCTAAGACAAACAGGTCAACACGCTGCACTCGCACGCACCTTGGACACACTGGGTATTGATGTGTGTTGTGTGTCCGAAATTAGGATCAATGACTCTACCGGGGTTATTGAATTAACCGCACCCGGCTTATCCTTTTGTTGTTGGTTGTAGGCATCCGGAGACGCCGATGCAGCACTCACGGGTCAAGCTGGTGTAGGTATCATTCTCAGCTCCAGCACTGTGCAATCGTTGGTTGATTGGATTCCGGTGAACAGCCGTTTATGTGCAGCCCGTTTGACGACATCAGCTAAGGTTGATTCACGAAGTAGTACAAAACGCTGTTTGTTTGTGATTTCCGTTTATGCTCCCACCGACTGCAGTTCAAATGCTGTCAAGGACACATTCTATCACGAACTGAACGCCCTACTACGCAGTGCTACTAGTTCAGATAGTACAGTAGTTGCAGGGGGATATGATCGCACAACTAGGGCGTCTGAGCTATTCAGAACCTCAGCTGGGTGGTAACTATGTGCTTAACTCCGAACGGACTGACAACGGTGAGCGTCTACTGCCACTGTGTGCGGAGCACCAGTTGTTGCTTAGTAGCACTGCCTTTAGACTCAGTGGGCGCCAAAGTGCCACTTAGCGTCCTCCTGTGGCTGTCCAGCGATGGACCCAAATTGACAACATAGCCGTAAGTTGCAGGTGGCATAATTCTATCCTGGACTGCCGCTCGTACTGGAGTACCTGTGTCGACTCTGATCATGTCTTAGTACACTGTCGTTTCTCCACGAACTATACCGCGAGGCGCACCAAGCGTCTCCTCCAATTGGCAACTGAGAAATTATCTTACCCCTCGGTCAGGCAAGCCTATCAAGAAGCACTGCATAGCGAACTCTCGCTGTCTTGTCCTAATGACCCTGAGCTTCAGTGGAATAGGATCCTGGCCGCCATGCGCGGCGCAGGCGCATCTGCTTGCGGCACTATAAATCCTCACTGCACTAGTCACTGGATATCCGGGAGGTTGGTGAACCTCTTGGTATCTAGTAGACACCTCCCGACTGGCTCTGAACACAATGTGTCCAGACGGGCTATTAGACATGAACTAAAGCATAGCCTACGTGATGACAAGGAAGGCTGGTGGACCAGTGGGACCCAAGAAATGTAGGAGGCAGGAGCAGTAGGCAATTACCCCAAACTCTTCCAGCTAATCCGCACCACCGGTCCCAGAAAACCAGGGGTCAGTGAGACAAGCAGTGAAAACGCCGGTGCGCTGATACACAATAAGGAGCGCGGTATGGCTCGTTGGGCGGAACACTTTCAAGATCAGTTCAGCTGGCCCCCTGCTCCCGGATCTCATCCTACTCAGGTGATGCAGCACGATCTATGGAGGGTTAGTTAAGAGCCTCCGTCGGAGGCCGGGGTCCCAAATGCGATCACAGCTTTCAATCGATTTCGTGCCGCTGGCCCGGATTCCCTCCCACGTGCACTATTTAATGCTGGAGGTGAGATCCTCTGCAGAGCACTGACCTCCCTATTCGAACGTATCTGGAAGAAATAAAGTGTCCAGGCTAATTGGAGGGAACCGATTATAGTGGCAATATTCAAGAAGAGCGGTCGCACAGACTGTTCTAACCACAGGGGTATTAGCCCAACTCCAGTTGTGACAAAAGTACTGGCCTCGATTATCGTTCGTCGCCTCACTGTGGAACGGGAAGCTCGGATTAGGGAAGGGCAGGCTGCTTTCCGCCCAGGACGTGGCTGTATAGACCATATATTTACTTTGCGGCAGGTGCTAGAGCAGCGCCACGCATACCGCAGACCGAGAATAGCTGTGTTCCTCGAGTGCAATCGTGCGTTCGATGCAGTCGATCGATCGATTCTGTTGGAAATAATTGTGCGGAAATGTGTTCCCGCGAAATATGTGAACATCCTTCGTGCTCTATACTCGAACACTACAGGCCGCGTCAGGGTCTATGATGTCCTATCGGATAGCTTTCCGACCACAAGTGGCGTTCGTCAGGGTTGTCCGATTTCCCCGTTTTTGTTCAGTTTCGTCGTGGATTCTATCATGGAGTGTTCCCTTGCGGAATCTCACGATGTAGGCGTTGAAGTACTGCCTGGTGAAAGCTTAGTTGATCTAGATTATGCGGACGATATCGTCTTGCTTTTCGACAATGTTGCGGTGGCCCAGTCGACCCTGTTTAGCCTCTCAGTAGTGGTCCCATTATTTTGTATGCACTTCGCACCTTCAAAATGCAAAATGTCGCTGCAGGACCAACAGTCACTTGATGACCACTTGATGCTTGCTAACGATGAACTCGAGGTGGTTGATCATTTCACTTATCTTGGCAGCTGTATCAGCAACGATGGGCGCATAGAAACTGACATCAGCTCACCCATTGCAAAAGCCAGAGCTACCTTCTTGAACCTGCGGCATCTTTGGCGACAGAATGGAGTCTCCCTTCGTCTGAAAGGCCGTGTATACAAGGCCATAGTAAGGGTCGTCCTGCTCTATGGTAGTGAGACTTGGCCCCTTCGGTCTGAAGACCTGAGGCGCCTTCAAGTCTTTGATCATCGCTGTCTGCGAGGCATTGCTGGAGTCGGATGGCACCAGCGTGTCCGCAACGATGATGTGCTTAGGCGAGTACTAGGTAATGATAATCATACCAGCTCCCTAGAACAACAGATGGCACTGAATAAGTTGCGTTGGCTCGGGCACGTGCTACGTATACCTGGTCACAAGTTACCTAGGAGGGACTTGTTCTGTCTACCAGGTGAAGGGGGGCACAAGGCTCGAGGTGGACAGAAGTTGACTTGGCAGCGGAAAATGAAGTCACTGACGACCAAACTGGTTGTCGTTGGTCCGTCTCGGCTTCCGGCCTGGAGTCCACGTGACTCATCTTGTGCTTGGCTGTAGACTTTACAGGACATGGACCGCAGTATACACCAGTGGCGCGTCTGCTGCCCTATCCTAATCGGATTATCTGTTTGAAGTGTGTTTGATGCTGAGTTATCTGCGGGGTAATGACTGATTATGACGCGCGGCAGTGAAAGTCACAAGAAAGCTCTCTCGTCAATGCCGCCTTATATTTGCACGATAGCCAGCTGTTTGTGACAGTATGTTTTCTACACTAGGTGTAGGCGCCTTGACCCTGAATGTTTGCTTAGGGCATTAAGGTTTTCACGTAAGTCCCCCTTCTCTCCCTCTTTTTATTCTTCATTTCATAGGTCCTCACGGTTGTATGGCAGCGAAGCATCAGTTCAAATGGCTGATGTACTCTTATTATTGTTGTTGTTGTTGTTGATGATGATGTTGTTGTTGATGATGGTGATGATGATCCAATCGCAATCACATGTCGTCGGCAATCGTCCTGTGCTGCAGTCATTCCGTGCCTGAATTTACCGACATGCAATGCCCTACTTGCGATTTAGCTATTCCATCCAAGGGAACTGTAACTTCCCGACTTTAGCGCAGCGACACTGACTACCGGGCGTGATAAATTGCGAACGTGATAGCTCTTATCTTCGACAGATCCCGTTTAAGAAGTGAAGGTGAGGCACCTTTCAATGCCTTGTCTCACAGTGACCCAACTTCATGCTATGCCGCAGCCGGTGACCTTAGGCATCACTAATTTCATCTCCGGCATGCGATTTTCGACACCCGGGTGACAAGATGCTCGTGAGCAAGTCGGGCCGGCACCTGTTTGCCACACACACGACCAAGTTTGCTCTATACTTACACCCGATATTCTATTAGCTGAGGACGTCCGATCGATGTGGCAGATATGCGGGGGTGCCTACGTCAACCACGGTCATCGCATGGGCGGACCAGTTTGTGTGAGTTCGGGCGGAAGTTGAAATCCGTACAGCCTTATTTGATTTTGCTATAGAGCAATTTGCCCGAAAAATGGTCTAGAGGACATTAAAGCATAGTTGACAGTTCCTGTTGGGCACATATCTTGCTAATAAAAACAGGAGATAAGTTGCTAACTACTCAACTGTGACTGTACTGCTTCCAGAGTAAACATACTATGTATCATGACCGACGTCCACAATGCACTTTTTCGCATCACATGACACTTGCATTCGACTAGGAATACACGATTGCTGTGTTCCTCTTTCCAAAGTGATATCAGTTGCATTTGTAAACAAGTCAGCTACTCCATAGCTGATTAATGCCACGCGTGGTTGTGAGTCACATTTAAGCTACTATAAAAACTCCGTCTAGATAAAAGATAAAACTGATGCAGTTTATTGATGTTATCGGGATTTAGCTCCTGTTCACAAATAGGGAGTATGTGTGATGGTGGGCCGGTCGGCAAATGTTGTAGAACTATAAAAAATTGTCAGCTTTTCCAACGTATACACATAACTCACTCGTCGCAACTGAGCTACTGCACCTCCAGGAAACGTCGACTCCACTAGTACCTCTTCCACGTATCCACCTGGATGCATTGCGCCAATTCTTGAGACACATGAAAATTCAGGCGCTCTATATATTTGCGGGGCAGACTGAGGGCGAGGTGCTTGCTGCCTGTGTATCTGAAAAGGCAATATGTTTTGTCATGCACACAGGTCTGTATCTGAGATGCGTTTGCTTCACCAGATGGGCGAAAATGTTAAGTGAAGCCCCATAGTAAACGCCATTTCAGAAGTTACTTGATACGCTTAACTCCCAGAGCGATTCAGAGATCCGGCAACCAAAGATGCCGAAATAGCAGTGAAGAGAATGCTGTAAAGATGTTCACATCAGAAGACGTAAATCCAGTAAAAATCATTTGAGTGTTTCGCTCATTTGTGATGCGTGATTGGCTGAGTCTTGAAATCAGCCGTGGTCCTTTCGCTGAATATCCTTTTTAAACAATCAGTTTTGCAAGAATATTTTGGCAAATTCATCGTTCACACTATTTCCAAGACCCATGAGACCGTTTTACTCTATCCACATTTTAAATACTAAGCTGACATACTGCACACAGTTCGCGGTTGGTTGCTTTTCGCAGCAAAATTTAACGTCAGTTGAAATCAGTTATGAGGATATAGGTTAGTAAAGCTCTGCCATGTCGAATTGCCACAACTCTTAATGATTCCGATCAGCAATGTGAGATCTTTGCTTGAAAATTCCGGGCCGTAGACTCGAGTGCCAGTAGAACATCCTCTTCACTTTTGTTTATCCATTATTTTAACTTTTGCATTTTCTATTATGAAGTTTTACGTCATCTGTAGTCGATAATGCAAATGTCGAAACTGCACCCATCTGGGTACATAAAGCTCGTATATACTAGGTTTGGTTTTGGTGCAAAAAGAGTAGCTTAAAAATACATCGGCTGCATAAGAGCGATCATTCAACCCCGTTTGGTTCGATACTGGGTCTAGTGGGCATTCGTAGGGCTCATTCTGTTGGGCACAATTGCGTAGAATTGCTACCAGCGAGATAAAAGCTGCGCCGATGGTAAGACAGCAAAATGTGCGTCAGGTAAATTATTGTTCTCATGGAAGTATACTTTCTACCACTGCGAGTTACGTTACCTGTGTCCTGTGCATGTCCAACAGTCATTGTATACAAATTCCACATTAGCTGATTCAGCTGAAAGAAGACACCTTCTGGAATGCTTTTGGTAACTTCTCATTTACAGGTTGGACCTTGAGAGGATGTTAAAAGCCAGTGGAATACAGGAAAGATTGGTCCAGGCAATAGAGGCGTGCACCCTATCAATATCCAAGCTAGTCTGGTTTTTACCGACTTATCTATGTGTAGAGCAATATAGCAATAAGGGGCGGGCACATCTGAAATACAGAGAATGGATGAACACCTCATGTTTACATTAATTACTCCAGGGTAACCTTGGCGTTACCCAAGAATCTGCTTGGAATCCATGCACATCCGCAAGTCCTTGAGGCCTACAGTAAACGAGCACAGGGCTTCGCAACTAACTACGATAATCTGTCCGAACTCATTGGTGCAACAAGCTGTTCTTTCCTAGTAGAATGGTCCCCTGAGATGGTCTACGGGGAATTTGTCAACAGATTTAAGAGGCTCGTGGCAAGCAGATCTGAAACCAAATCCACTGACCCAAACTGAAGTTGTTCCTAAGTAACATGACTCGGAAATGCATAGTACTGAGAGACTGGCATGATTCGTCTAGATAGCGTTTGCGAGTGAAGACACTTGGGACGTCTATACAACACAACGAAACCACTTTGTCATACGCGCCCAGGAGGATAAAGTAATGAATCAACAAAACCTTTTGGTAAAATCTTGCTCTAACCCCAAACTGCTATACAGACACACAAACTTTGCCGGTTTAAGCGCGGAATTCCTGCACTGCACTCAGCATGCGGGTTAGTAGGTGGCACAAGAAGCAACCAACGTTCATGGACAACAACTTGGCAGCACCTTCCAAAGTGTGCAATCATCCCACACCATGCCTATGCAGATAATGCCGCTATCAAGCCTTAACTCCATATCTTCTACAACGGCAACTCGATTGAAACGGCTGCTGTCATTGCGCGAATACAGCTCCCCGGTCACAGACGTCATTCGTCCGAAGGTTTTGTAAGTTGCTGCCATGAGTTTATCTGAACCGTTATCAATACACTTCCAGCTATGTCTTAACGAGATCCACATCCCTACGATGTGGAAAAATGGGATCATCACTCCAATCTACAAATGTGGTAGCCATTCAGAACCAGCAAATGGTCCCCAATGATCTTCAAGATCGTGAACTCCGCTGTAGCTGAGGCACTCATGGAGTAGTTGGAGAACAACAAGGTTTTCGTCCCGGATCAGAACGGATCCTTATGACAGCCAATCTACACCACAACACTCATGGACATGCTCTTCCGAATACTCATCTGAAAGTCTGGTGCCATCAGCTCAACCGAATCATACTTGTGATAAGGTAGACACTACGGCATGTTTGTCTCCCTTTTGTACCTCCTTGTAAAAGATAATTGAATGGTGTGAAATAAAAGTAATTTAGAAAAATTAAACAATCTCCTCTACGGCGCAGCACGGTTTTCAGTTGGTTATCGCAGGGAAAACGAATGTTATGCCGCCGCGACAGCAGTAAAGAAAGAGCAAGTAATTTATCCGCTTGCTCCACCTTTAACTCCATCGGGACATGGAACTCCTGGGATTGTTTAGCGCATGATTTCTCAAACATTTTGGCTCGTTGACTCGCTTATATGGAGCGTCGCAAGGCGGATCCACTTCCATATTGTTAACCAAAGGACTATGCTTTGATAAAATGAGATTGAGGCGCAGTGTACTGGAAAATCCTATTGCTGCAGCGTGAATTAAAACTTGCGTAAATTTTTTTTGTAGATATATATATATATCTTATCAGTCTATAAAAGTCATCCAAGTATAAATTAAGGAGGTATAAACTTAAAATAGCGAATACCATGTGAGGAAGAACAAAAGATATTCTGAGCATTCTGTCTACGATTTTTTTTGTTTCCACATGCCATTCTGTACCACATTTGGCATTTTCATCAATACAGTCCTAATCACAATGTTCAAAACATGTAAACAAACGGTTACTCCATTGATTTCGGTTTTGCGCCATATCACCAAGTGTGTCAAGCTATTAGCAGTCCTCATCCTTGGGCCCCCAGCCAGGAATAAGTGCAGCTCGACGATTGCGAAACAGCAGGTCAGTGATTTCATGGCTTGCCGCCAAGTGGTTGGCTGACCACCACGTCTTTTCTTCCCATTCAATCCCTTGAGAGCAAATAAGGCGCGGTGTGGTAAGCGCTCGGATGAAGTATTTAGCACGTGGACAAGCCACCTATACTCACGCATTACGACTAGGCAATCAAGCGGAAGGCTCGTGGTTCCCAAAACGCAACATCGGACTACATCGTTGCGAACCCGGTGCTACCACCACATACAGGATAACGGCCGCAAACATGAATTAAAAAGGACGAACACCTACACATGTCATCCACACGAATCGGCCAGGACTCACTTCCGTACTTCAGGACCGCGCGCAAAATTGCGTTGTAGACCCACCCTTCAAGCAGAGGGATATGTCCGGACGACGTTACAAGTGACTCAAGTTAATAAATGCCCACCGTGCTCTTGCGATGCGATGAGGTATCCCTTTCCCAATAGTGCCATCAGAAGAAATACCGAAGCTGAGGTAGATAAGGTTGTCCACAGACTCTAGCTGGGTTCCTCCAATGGTAAGTGAGGGGGCAGGAGACTTCGTCATGGTGTAGCACTTTGCACTTCAAGGAAGAAAAGCGCATACCATATTTAGACTCTTCAAGCACCAAACGGTTCAAAAAGAGCTGTCCACTCTGTGGATCCTCAACGAGCCGAGCGATATCAGCAGCATAATCTAAGTCGGTCACGCGAATGCAAGAAAGGAGCTCAACACCAAGATCCTGGAAACCTTTCAGAGATCTTAAGGTGGCGGCCTCAGTTGAAAAGTTGCAGGGGAATGGAAACAATGGGTACCCTTGTCGCACAACAGTAATAGCGCAAAGTGACGAACGCTTGACATAGACCCATACTCTACCTGACACTTGGGATTATAGCGCCCGAATGATAGAAGTGTAACTTAATCTATTATTCAGTAAACAGTGCCGTACAGCAGGCCGATCAACCGAGTCCAATGCAGCTGGAATGTCCAGAAAAACAACAATTGTTGGCATGTAGTAGAGATAGTGGTGATCAATGATTTGCTGCAGCGTGAAGATCTGGTCCACGTATTCTCGACACGGGCGAAAACCAGCTTGTTCTTCAAGGTAAAGCAACTCCGGAATCGGGGATAATCTGCGGAGCAGAATGGATGCCACCAGTCTGCAGGCAACCGACAGGAGACAAATTGACCTATGTTTAGCACAGGGTGTGCAAGCACCCATCTTGAAAATATTAGCAATTACCGACTCACCATAAAAGGATGGAATCTTCTTTCCGTGCCATATTTTGGAAGACAGCGATGTAAACTGCATAACAAATGTTGGGCCACCAAAGTTGAACATCTCTGGAGGAAATTTGTCTGCTCTAGTTGAGAATACCAGTTGGACGTTTCTAGCTAACTGCACCCCAGAACTAGCCTGGGAGACATTCGCGAACACCATCACGTCACTAGTCATAGAAGCCTCAACACCAAATGTTTCCCAACATCCCCGCACGGCGAAATCATTCTTGCGAAGCCGGACGCGAAAATGCATGACTCTAAGGGATCGGGCATGGCGCATGTATAAAAGCAAACCCAGCGCAGAAAACTGGACGGAATACGTTTCGCATCGCAACTACTGTGTGCTTTTGGTTCGCGAAGACAAGAGAACGCATCAGCAGGAGCTAGCCAAACGATTCTGTTCGAACAAAAAGCTTCTTTACAAACATGTGAATGGACTTCGCAAGGTGCAACGGGGAATCCCACCACTTAATACGACCAATGGGTATACACTTACTGCGAAGGAGGCGGCCAACGCATTACGGG